CACGGCCGACAAATGGTCTTCCAGTGTCAGCCGTGGATCCAGGAGGACACCCAAGTTGCGTGCCCTCTCTGAGGGGGCCAAAGTTTCGCCCCCTATAGACAGCGATGGAATCAGCTGACTATGCCGGGGCGCCGGCAACCACAGCCACTCGGTCTTGGAAGGGTTGAGTCTGAGTCTGTTCCTCCCCATCCAGACCCGTTCTAGGTTGCTTCTCTCCTTGATTAGTTTCCATCCGTTGCTTCTTGTCCTGCCTTCAGGCGCCTTGGAGAATAAATGATGAGAATAAATGATGAGATTTATATGCTGCCTATCTCACAATAGAGTGACCCTTAAGAAATTAAAAGACCACATGTATCTCTCTTGTGGTAAGCAGCATTATGTAAAGTGGCCGAAAAGAATTAAGGAAAAGCGAGCCAAAGAAATTACAGGGGTGAAATGAGGCAAAAGAACCAGAATACATAGTTAAAACTAGTTTTCACCAATTTCACCTGCCATACATTTCTATCTTTGCCAATTATCCTTGATTCTAGTATGTCTAAAGACTGATTCATACATTTCCTTCTCCATCGTATTTTCTCATCTCCTTCCTCACAACCCATTGGCTGTTCTTTTACTTGTTTGTTCTGTGTTTTAATTCTCATTTGCTTTCTCTGTGTGACTAAACCACATGAATGTTCCTCTTTCATCCTTGCTTTTGTATGAATCCACATTATTTCATCACTCATTCATTTTTGAGCCTTTCTCTTCTCGTTTCAATAAGCACATTTCTTAACTACTCCTTTCCCATCGCATTCAAATTACTTTCTCCCGTCAATCTCAATTTTCATTTGCACATAACAAAGCAAGCAGAAGTTTCCTTTTATATCCAGCTGTCTCGGCTTCTTTAAACAAACATTAATTACTCACATTTTCAGTTCCCTTGACAATCATTAATGCCTAATGCTCTAAAAACTCCCTATTCCTTAATTCCAAGTAATTGTCAAACAAGCCCATCTTGATCTTCTGGATATTAATTTTCAAATCTCTTCTTTGCACTATACAGTTTAACAGTTGCTGTAAGTCAATAGAGACAATAGCCAACAAGATAGCGTTGACTGAATACAACAATACACACAGCAATACAGACACATACACGTTCCATTTTAAAGTGTAATTTTTATTAAGTGTTATTACAAAACATATAAGAACTAATGTAAACTAATAAAGAACAGAAGCAGGAAAGGAAAAAAACAAGAAAAGAGGAAAGAAAGAAGAAAGGAAGGAAGGAGAGAAAGAAAGAAAGAAAGAAAGAAAGAAAGAAAGAAAGAAAGAAAGAAAGAAAGAGAAAGAAGGAAGGAAGGAAGGAAGGAAGGAAGGAAGGAAGGAAGGAAGGAAGGAAGGAAATAAGTGAGGGAGGGAGAGGAGGGAAAAAGGAAAGGAAGGAAAGGAAGGAAGGAGAAAGAGAAAGAAAAAGAAAGAAAAAAGGAAAGGAGAAGGAAGAGAGAAAAGGAAGGAAGAAAAGAAAGAAAGAAAAAAAGGAAAGGAAGAGAGGAGAGGAAGGAAAGGAAGGAGAAAAAAGAAGGAAGGGAGAAGAGAAAGGAAAAGAAAGAAAAAGAAAGAGAAAGAAAGAAAAGGAAGAAAGAAAGAAAGAAAGAAAGAAAGAAAGAAAGAAAGAAAGAAAGAAAGAAAGAAAGAAAGAAAGAAAGAAAAAGAAATTGAAGGCCTTCCCACTGTACATTTCCAAAGATCCATACTGGTTCATTACACTAAGCCACACTTCGTTGTATAAAGCACAATTGGTTGTTTTTCCCTAGCCTGATAAGCTGTAATCCTTATTTTACAGAACAGAATGACTAAGCTTACATAACATGCTAAGCCTACATAACATACATAACATGCTAAGCCAGCCCCAAATAAACCACATTATCTCTTAGCATCATGTATGAATTTGTCCTAAAGAATCATTGCTAACATAATCCACACTATTCTGTTTCAAGGTTGCTAGATATTAGCCCAACCACAGGCCTGAGCTTCGTTATGGATACCACGGGAAGTATGGGGGAAGAGATCAGCGCTGCTAAGTTTCAGGCATGGGAGATCATTGAACGGCGCAAAGGCACCCCTCAACAGCCAGATTTTTATCTCTTGGTGCCTTTCCACGATCCCGGTAAGATTGTGAAGATAGTCTCTTTTTTAGTTGAATTTCATTTTTTATTCTACTGTATTTCTTGCTTGTTAACTTTGTCCCCAGCTTTACAGCTAGTAGAATACAATTAAAAGTGCAGAATACAAAATAAAGCATAAAAGGGGACACATTGAGAGAAATAGCAAACTGCAACAGATAAACAAGGATGACAGAACTTCTGGTTATTTAACCGCAGACGTTGGTGAATAAAAACGTCTTTGCCTGCTGGAAGATAGACTTTGGAGATGAGACTCTTGTTGCAATGATTTGGGAACCCTTCTGGGATTTCTGATCAACCCAGCTTTGGATGTTGGCAGAACAGAAAGAGGGATCTGTCCCAATGATCTAAAATCTCAGGGAAGCTGATGTGAAAAAAATATGTGTGTGTGTGTGTGTGGGGGAGTTTCCCTGTAAGATTCTAATTCAGTTTCTCATAAAAACAGTGGAACACCACCAATGGTAATATTAATTACAATAAATCACCATAAAACATCAGGATAAGAATTGAAATTCTAAAATGGTTTTCCAAAATGTCTTGGAAAATAAAAAAGGTTTTCACCTAGTATTAGATAGGTTATAATATACAGTAGTTTTATGTGTGTTTTTCTGCAGAGGACATTCAATCAATGTTTCGTATACTGAAATGCTAAGAATTAATATCAGATCTTTTGATCTGATATTGAATCTCTCCCTCTACTTGTCTCTCTCTTCCTCTTTCCCTCTCCCTCTGTCTCTCTTTCTCTGCCTCCTCTCTCTTGCTTTTTCTCCCTCTCTCTCTCCCTGCTTTCTCTCTCCTTCTCTCCTTTCCCTCTCCTCTCCCTCTCTCTCCTTCTTCTCTCTCCCTTTCCTCTCCCTCTCCTTTTCTCTCTCCCCCTTTCTTCCTGTCTCTCCCTCTCTCTTTCTTTCCTCTCCTTCTCCTTTTCTCTCTCCCCCTTTCTTCCTGTCTCTCTCCCTCTCTCTTCTTTTCTTCTCCCTCTCCTTTTCTCTCTCCCTCTCTCTTTTTCCCTCCTTCTCTCCTTTCCCTCTTCCTTTCTCGATCTCTTTCCCTTTCTCTCTCTCCCTTTCTCTCTTTCTCTTCTAGGTTTTGGACCAGTCAGTAAGACCAGTGACCCTGAAGAATTCTGGAAAGTCTTAGACACCATCAGCCCGTTGGGTGGTGGAGATGAGCCTGAAATGTGTCTGTCAGCCTTGGAGGTAGCATTCATGAAACACCCTTTATCGCTGCATGATTTTATAGATCAGATGTTCTCAAACTGCGATCCATACAAACTCCATTTAGAAAACCCAGAGAAAGATTGGGGGTGGTGGTGAATCAAAATATTGGATCTCCATTTGATTGATGGATTACTGAGGATGGAGTTTTTAAGCTATTTTGACCAGGACTGGATTATTAAATGCATGGTAAAAAAAGAGAGAATCTCTTCAATCTAGAAATAAGAATTTTCCCCCCAGACACTGAGAACAACTAATCAATGGAACAATTTGCCTCCTGGAGTTGTGGGGGCTCTGTCGCTGGAGCTTTTCAAGAATACACTGGACAACCATTTGATTGGGATGGTATAAGGGTCCTGCCTTGAGCAGGGGGTTGTACCAGAAGACCCTCAAGATCCCTTCCAGCCCTATGATTTTATGATTCTAAAAATCCTAATTGGATGAGTGTGCCCCTTCCATAATGTAATTGAGGTGCAATCTATTCTCTTTAAAAAAACAACAACAGCTGAAATAGGCCTTTCAATAGCTGATCAAAGTAGGGATCTTGATTTTCATAATGTTTGGTTGATGATTGATTGATTCATTGTGCACCATCAGGTTGATGTTGACTGTTAACAACCACATAGATAGGCTTTCTCCAGAACGATCTTTCCCCACCCAGACCTTGAAGTCTCCCAGTAATGTATCCATCAACACAAGCATGCTGAAGTCCATCTACCTTACTGCTGGTGGTCCTTTATCCTGTCTTTCTACCAACAATGTCAAGCATGTTCTTTTTTTAAAAAAAAAAGTTATCTGCCACAGTAGCAGTCTTCCAATATCTAAAGGGCTAAAGAAGAAGGAGTCAAGCTATTCTCCAAAGCACCTGGTGGCAGGCCAAGAAGGAACAGATGGAAACTAATCAAGGAGAGAAGCAACCTAGAACTAAGGAGGAATTTCCTGACAGGGAGAACAATCAACCAGTGGGACGACTTGCCTTCAGAAGCTGAGGGTGCTGCAACACTTGAGATTTTTAAGAAGAGATTGGACGGCCATTTGTCTGAAATGGTATAGGGCAGGGGTAGGCAACCTTGGCTCTTTTATGATTCGTGGACTTCAACTCCCAGAATTCCTGAGCCAGCTGTGCTGGCTCAGGAATTCTGGGAGTTGAAGTCCATGAGTCATAAAAGAGTCAAGGTTGCCTACCCCTGGTATAGGGTCTCCTGCTTGAGCAGGGGGTTGGACTAGATGACCTCCAAGATCCCTTCCAGCTCTGTTACTTTCTTCTGTTAAATATCGTACTTGGTGGATATAGGTGAATCTTCCTTGTCTTTCTCTTTTCCACTTAGCTTGCCCTGCAGAACTCGCCACCCTATTCTGAGATCTTTGTCTTTACCGATGCATCTGCCAAAGATGCTCATCTGAAGAACAGTGTGGAATCCCTTATTCAGGAAAAGAAGTGCAAGGTCAGCCGAGCCTCTTACATTTATATCAAAGTTCCCTCTTGGGTATATTTCTTTCCAGTTGTGTAGCATACCAGTGCAAACTATGCCAGCCTCTTCCGCCTAACATCCTAGAAAATTGTGTACTGGGGTGTCACTGCAATGCTGTGGTTACGGAACCAGGGTCATGGATGTCTGGTGGGGGTGTGGCAGCAGGAGGGAATGATGATGTGTGTGATTGCATCATCACACAAGTGTTGCAACTTACTGTGTTTCCCCCAAAATAAGCCCTATCCCCAAAATAAGCCCTAGCTTGATTTTTTTTGGTGATGGGCCTAATATAAACTCTACCCCCAAAATAAGCCCTAGTTTTGGGATGTGGCGCATGCCTAAAAATCTAGCTAGGGTGGGGGTAGGGCAGGTGGAGCTGCCCCACGCGCCCCGCACCTGTTTACCTTACTGGTAGGACTGCCACAGGCAGGCCTCCCACACCCCAAAACCTGTGACGCCACATGGCTCGTCGTGCCGGTGCTGCTCCTTGCGGTAGGAGGCTGCCCAGTGCTTCGGGCCGATGCTGCTCCTCGTGGCAGGACGCCAAGCAGCGGCAACAGCCCTAAGCACCATTCGGCCTTCTGCAAACAGCCCAAAGCACCGCGCAGTCTCCTGCCGCGACTGGCGGCATCGGCATGAAACACTAGGCGGCGTCCTGCCACAACCAATGGCGCTGGCACAATGCACCACATGGCATCCAGCTGCAAGTGGCAGCAAGTGGTCGCTGAAGTGGTCAGGCAGCAGCGTGACAGGTGTCGGAGCGTGGGAGGCCTGGCTGAGGCGGTCCTAAGGTAAGATATCTCATCAAAATAAGACCTAGTGCCTCTTTTTGAGGCAAAAAAAATATAAGACCAGGTCTTATTTGGGGGAAAACACAGTAGATACTTGCATCAGCCAATGGGACACAAGTATGTAGTGGCAGCAGTTGGGTGCAGACATCACTGTGGGCATGTTAGCACAGCGTTGTCCAACTTGACAATTTGAAGATGTTGGGGTGGGGAATTCTGGGAGTTGAAGTCCACATGTTTTCAAGTTGCCAAGGTTGAGAAACACTGTTAGCATATTTAACTTAGGACTGGGAAGAACAGGAGTCAAGTCCATCCTCATTTATGGAAGGTTTTCTGGGACCAATGAGAATCTTTCAGCCCCATGTAACTGATGGAGGGGTGATTGTGGGAAACAAATTGGAGGAAAAGATGTATGTCACCTCAGACTCCTAGCAGAAAGGTTGAAGGTAAATCTTATCACAAAATGAAAACAACAACAACGAATAGTATAATCCAGAATGGTATATTCTCTCCCCAGCCACTATTTCCAAATATGTTGCCGTTTTCATGCAAAATTGATTCATATTTCTAAACTATTTTGGTCCACACATTCTGTATTTAGAATATTCTGTACAGGTTGTCCTCAGCTTATGACCACAATTGAGCCCAACATTTCTGTTGCTAAATGAGACAGTTATTAAGTGAGTTTGCCCCATTTTACAACTTTTCTTGCCATAATTATAAGTGAATCACTGCAGTTGTTTTAAGTTGTAAAGTGAATCTGGCTTTCCCGTTGACAGATTGCCACAGAAGGTAATCACATAACCCCAGGACACTGCAACTGTCATAAATATGAGTCAGTTGCCAAGCATCTGAATTTTGACCACCCATGCGAATGCTGCAATGGTCATAAGTATGAAAAATGGTCATAAGTCATTTTGTTCAGCGCCATTGTAACTTTGAACGGTCACTAAACAAACTGTAGTAAGTCAAAGACTACCTGTATTCTAGAATCTAGGTCAATGATGGCGAACCTTTTAGAGACCGAGTGCCCAAACTGCAACCCAAAACCCACTTATGCATCGTCGAGTGCCAGGTGGGTGTGGCCCATTGGGTGGGTGTGGCCCATTGGGTGGGCGTGGCTGCGGTGGTAACAGCAGACTGGGTGGGACTAAAAAGTTCAATGAATAAATTCCAACTTTGCAAGATTTTTTTTTCCCACAAGAAGCTGAAATTGACTGATTGATTGAACCTTTTTTTTTTTTGCACACGGTGGCGGAGGCCTAAAGCGAAAAGGTTTTATAAAACCCAGCTGAAGGCCTAGGACTGGGGCGACGGCGCACGTGCCCACAGAGAGGGCTCTGAGTGCCACCTCTGGCACCCGTGCCATAGGTTCGCCACCACTGATCTAGATCCTAAGCCTGAGACTCTTGTTTTCTCAATATCAGGTAACCTTCCTAATCACAGAAGACCTGTCCAAGACTCGAACGAAGCGGGAAACGCTTGCCCCAAACCGATTCGACCTGTACGTTCACTTAGCTGAGAGTTCAGGAGGCCAGATTATATTTACAGACAACGATAACATCCGGCGGATGGCTGAGATTATTGGCGAATCCAGCTTATCTTCGGTAATAGCAAGGTGCATGTGTGTATATGTTTATGTATACTTTGCCCATACTAGTCGAGGGACCACAATTTCTGTTACTAAGCAAGGTGATTGTTATGTGACTCATGCCTGATTTTATGACCTGGGTGCTATCTAACAAAATGAAATTCAGTCGTGAAAAAAGTAAGGTTCTACATTTAGGCAAGAAAAACCAAATGTACAAGTATAGTATAGGGGGTACCTTGCTCAATAGTAGTAACTGTGAGAAGGATCTCGGAGTCCTAGTGGACAATCACTTAGATATGAGCCAGCAGTGTGCTGCAGCTGCCAAAAAAGCCAACACAGTGCTAGGCTGCATTAACAGAGGGATAGAATCAAGATCATGTGAAGTGTTAATACCACTTTACAATGCCTTAGTAAGGCCACACTTGGAATACTGCATCCAGTTTTGGTCACCATGATGTAAAAAAGATGTTGAGACTCTAGAAAGAGTACAGAGAAGAGCAACAAAGATGATTAGGGGACTGGAGGCTAAAACATATAAGGAACGGTTGCTGGAATTGGGTATGCCTAGTTTAACGAAGAGAAGGACGAGGGGGGACATGATAGCAGTGTTCCAATATCTCAGGGCCTGCCACAAAGAAGAGGGAGTCAAGCTATTCTCCAAAGTGCCTGAAGGCAGGACAAGAAGCAACGGGTGGAAACTAACCAAAGAGAGAAGCAACCTAGAAGTAAGGAGAAACTTCCTGACAGTTAGAACAATTAACCAGTAGAACAACCTGCCTCCAGAAGCGGTGAATGCTCCAACACTGGAAGTTTTTAAGAAGAAACTGGACAGCCATTTGTCCGAAATGGTATAGGGTTTCCTGCCTGAGCAGGGGGTTGGACTAGATGACCTCCAAGGCCCCTTCCAACTTTATCATTATCATCATCATCATCATCATCATCATCATCATCATCATCATCATCATCATCATCACTATTATTATTATTATTATTATTATTATTATTATTATTATTATTATTATTATTATTATTACCTTTTTTGCCATGGTTCTTAAGCAAAGCATGGCATGTAGGAGATGACCAGGCTACGCCTGAGGGTAGTGTCAAGTGTATCATCAGTCTTGAGTCCCTTCATGCCCACAAGAGATCTAAGCTCAACCCACCTTGAATTCTTATCTGCCTCCAATTTGCTTTGACCGTTAGTAGTTTAGATTCTTGCAGAGAATTCCAATAAACCTTTATATTCATTTGAACTGCCTGGATTTTTTATTTCCTCAGTGCTTGACACTGCAGTTGTTAAGTGAATCCAGCTTCCCCCACTGACTTTTCTTGTCGGAAGCTGACCAGGAAGGTCAGAAATGGCGATCACATGACCCCAGGATGCTGCAATCTTTATAAATATATGCAGGTTGCCAAGCGTCGAAATTTTGATCGGGGGGATGCTGTAATGGTTGTAAGTGCAAGAACCAGTTGCAAGTCACTTTTTTAGTGCCACCGTAACTTCAAATGGTTGTAAATCAAGGACTACCTGTAAACATTTTAAGGGAGATCCTATTTAGCTCATTAGACGACAGCCCTGTGCTGTTATTTTTTGGATCAGTCAAGACTTTGAAATAATTTCAGTTGTGCTTTTTGTTCTGTTTTTTTTTGCAATTTATACTAAAGTGGTAGTATTTCTCATTAATCATAACAGTATTGGAAGCACCTGCTGCATTATTATACAATCCTAATATTTAGAAGCAGTGGTATGGGGTAGTCAAAAAAAAAATCAAGATTGTGGGCATGACTATACCCGGTGCCTTTACATGACACATATAAAAAAGGGTGTGGCCTTGAACACATGATCACAATTGCCATCCCCATAGATGCTCCTGTTTTGAAGTCACCTTACCTCCTTTATTGCCATTGTCACTAGCTATAGATAGTCCTTGACTTATGACCACAATTGAGCCCAAAATTTCTGTTGTGAAACAAGGCAGTTTTTAAGTCCACAAATTCTGTATTTAAATATTCTGTACAAGTTGTCTTCAACTTATGACCACAATTGAGCCCAACATTTGTTGCTAAGTGAGACAGTTATTGAGTCTGCCCCATTTTATAGCCTTTCTTGCCACAGTCATTCAGTGAATTACTGCAGTTGTTAAGTTAGTAAAATGGTTATTAAGTGAATCTGGCGTCCCCATTGACTGACTGTCAGATGGTCACAAGTACTGCAACCGTCAGTGGAGGGAGGGAGGGAGGGAGGGAGGGAGGGAGAGAGGGAGGAAGGAAGCAAGCTTTCCACATTTGGTAACCCTTGACTGATGGAAAGTATCCTATTTTTCTAGGTGACTCTCTTTCGTTACCACAAAGGAAACATCTTGAGATCTAAAGGGACTCAACGCAGGACAAAGAAGCAGGTTCCCCAGTTGGTAAATCACCAGTTCTGGATTGACAGTTTGGTGGACCATGTGGTTGTGACCATCCAAGGCTCCGTGGAATTCTTTGAAATAAGGGACCCTACAGGTAGTGATCTGTATTCACTCTTATATTGATTTGTTTTCATGTTTTAGGTCTTGTACTTGTCACAAATGCTAAGAGGAGAGAACGCTATATATTTCACTTTACGTTCTGTACAAAAATGTGGATTATAAGTAGTCCTCAACTTATGAATGGTTGCTTAGCAGCCATTTGAAGTTATGAAAAAAACTACTTACAACTCAGAGTCAAATTTCTGACGTCCCCCCCCTTTTTCACATGATCGTATGTTGTGTGATCAGCAATTGGCCCACATTTATGGCCTTTTGCATTCCACAGTCATGTAACCATATAATAATAGTAGTAGTAGTAGTAGTAGTAATAATAATAATAATAATAGTAATAGTAGTAATAATAATAATAATAATAATAATAATAATAATAATAATAAAGTTGGAAGGGACCTTGGAGGTCATCTAGTCCAACTCCCTGCTCAGGCAGGAAACCCTATACCATTTCGGATAAATGGCTGTCCAGTCTCTTCTTAAAAACTTCCAGTGTTGGAGCATTCACCGCTTCTGGAGGCAGGTTGTTCCACTGATTAATTGTTCTAACTGTCAGGAAATTTCTCCTTATTTCTAGGTTGCTTCTCTCCTTGATTAGTTTCCATCCATTGCTTGTTGTCCTGCCTTCAGGCGCTTTGGAAAATAGCTTGACTCCCTCTTCTTTGTGGCAGCCCCTGAGATATTGGAACACTGCTATCATGCCCTCCCTCGTCCTTCTCTTCATTAAACTAGACATACCCAATTCCAGCAGCCGTTCCTTATATGTTTTAGCCTCCAGTCCTCTAATCATCTTAGTTGCTCTTCTCTGTACTCTTTCTGGAGTCTCAACATCTTTTTTACATCGTGGTGACCAAAACTGGATGCAGTATTCCAAGTGTGGCCATACCAAGGCCTTGTAAAGTGGTATTAACACTTCACGTGATCTTGATTCTATCTCTATGCAGCCTGGCACTGTGTTGTCTTTTTGGCAGCTACAGCACATTGCTGGCTCATATTTAAGTGATTGTCCACTATATTTTACAATGGTTTTGTTCAAAACTAGCATTTTCTTCCAATTTCTGAGAAAACCAGTCGGTAGCAAAATATAGATATGCTTAACAACTGTGGCATTCATTTTATGACTGCAGCAGTTACTTTACAACCACAGCAAAAAATGTCATAACATTGGGTCAGTCAACTGGGTGACCCATTTTTACAATTGTTATGGCTTACAACAGGGGTCTTCAAACTTGGCCCTTTTATGACTTGTGGACTTCAACTCACAGAATTCCTCAACCAGCATGCCTGGCTGAGGAATTCTGGGAGTTGAAGTCCACAAGTCATAAACAGGCCATGTTTGAAGACCCCTGACTTACAACCATAATGGGCATACTCCATTATAGTCATAAATCAAGGACTATCTGTATAATTATTATTTATTTTATTTATCAAATAGATTTCTATCCAACACATTTCATAAAACATTCTTGGTAACTTACATAGAATAAATAACACATTTAAATATTCACGGTAGAATCTATAAAACTTAGAGCAACAATTAAAAAACAATAACACTAAACAACATAAAAAATACAAAAATATTATCAGACTAGAAGATAAAAATAAGGCCATGCCAAATTGACAAAAAGTGGGTGGAGGGGGTCAACCTAATTTTCAAAGGGAGGCAATTCCACATGTTAGCTTGTATGGAGAAGCCATGATAACATGCCTCAGAAATGAGGAATATTTAGCAGTTTCTTCCCAATAGCTCTCATTGGTTGAGCCAGAAATAGATGCAGGCTTTGTAAGGTGTAAACCAGCACTTGAACTAGAACCTGGAAATCAACTGGTAACCAGTGCAAGGCTGTGAAACTGGGTTTACATATTCCTGGGAATCCAGACTACATTCCACCACAACTGTAGAATGCTGCAACCAGCCATAAAGGTGAAATGTGAGTGGGGGGGGGGATGGTGCCACCATTGGAACTCCGGAATCAGTTGTAAGCAGGGCTTTTTTTCTCATAGAACGCCCAGAACGGAGTTCCGGCACCTTTTTTGGATGGAACCTTATAGGGTAGGTAAGGCAGGTTGTATGATGTGTGTGAATTCCAGAACCTTTTTTTTTTATAAAAAAAGCACTGGTTGTAAGTATCTGTTGGGGGGTCCATCATAACTTTGAATGGTTACTAAATGACCAAATTATTAATCAAGGTGTCATAGTTCCGATAGATGAGACCAGTAGAAATAAGAACTCCAAAGCAATTGTTTTCCTCAAAGAACACATTCAATGACTACATAGTATCGGCACGAACAAAGATGAAACCAAGACTGAAAGTTCCCCCCCAAGGTTACACTATAACAAGCTGAATTTCCCACCCCTGCAATATGTCATAAATCACAATCCCCAATTAACTACTTTGCCAGGCTTTCTAACGGAAGCTCCAGCCCGCCAAAACCTAGGTAGCATGACCTTGGTTCCCACAGGAAAGTTATTGTTACAACTAAGCTAGAAGAATACATTTCCCCCCTCCCATTGCTGTGGCAACCAAAAACGAAATGAAGATGGCTGCAGCCAGAATCGTTTGAAGGTTGACACAAGTACTATCTGTACTTCAATTTATATCTTAAAAACCACTGATCTTCTTCCCATCCTTTTTTGTACAGATAGATTCCAAACTGATGCGACAATTCATGGTCCCCTAGCCAAGATCCAGTCCATTGGTGGAATTTATAGAGCATTCCTTTCTGCTCCTGTCCATCCTGGTGAATGGACTTTGAAACTTCGATCCAAAGGGCATTATTCAGTTTACATTCAAGGTGAGAAATGGGTTTAAACTGGGCTCTTGGGTCAACAGGACCAGTCCTTCCATTAGATACAGTGGCATTGATCTCAACTCAGTAGGTTGTCTCCTCCAATGTAAAGCCGCAGTACTCTTCTATCATTCCAGATTCATTTAACAGGTCAATTCTAAACATTAAGTGTTGGGGGTAAACAAAGGCAGACCAATTGGTGAGTCCTAATATATAATGGAGCTGCCCCCAGAGATCAGGGTGATCCCTGATCTCCCTTCCTTCCGCCGCGCCCTCAAGACATGGCTGTTCCAACAAGCAGGACTGGCCTAGGATAATTTTTAAGAGGGGTTTTTAGAGGGGTTTTTTAATTACATTTTAATTAGACAATTTAAATATTTCATTTTAATTAATTTTAACTTGTGATTGTTAGTGGTGTTTTTAATTGATTGTCAGCCGCCCTGAGTCCGCAAGGAGAAGGGCGGGATATAAATTCAAATAATAATAATAATATTCTGTGTGTTGAATGAAGAAAAGGTAGCATTTTCAATCTTTAAAAAACTGTACTCTTCAACTCCCTAGTCCATTGCTGGTCATGACAATAGTAATAGCAATAGACTTATATACCACCCCATAGTGCTTTATAGAACTCTCTGAGTGGTTTACAAATGTTAGCATATTGCCCCCAAACAATCTGAGTCCTCATTTTACTAACCCCAAAAGGCTGGAAAGATAAGTCAATCCTGAACCCTGTCAGGATTGAACTCTAGGCTGTGGGCAGTTAGCCTGCAATACTGCATTCTAACCAGTGCACCAACAGGGCTCTGTGGGATCTGGTTTTAAAATATATGAATGTTTTGACAGGTCAGAGCACCCTCGATTTCTTGTATTATTTTGCTGTTCCCTCTGATGGACGTCACCCAGGGTTATTCAGGCTGGATAGTCCTCCTGTTGAAGGTAAATACAGAGATTGTTTCTGTTCAGAAGATCCATGTTTCTTTTTACACAAAAGAGAAATCTCTATGTAATGGTAGCCTTCCATTACATATTTGGCAATCATAGCTGACTGTGGTAGAATGTAGTCTGGATTCCTGGGAGGGAGGGAGGGAGGGAGGGAGGGAGGGAAGGAGGGAGGGGCTGCATTCCAGAGGACCAAGAGACAGCAAAGTTTGGATAGTTTATTTGTGAAAAAGAGGGTCAAATAGCTCCTCCACAGAAGTTCTCAGAACATATCTTTAATGATGGAAGTAGTTCCTTTTAGTCTGACAAGATTCTGTCTATAAGTGAGTAACAATAAAGAAAACTGTTTACAAGTCACTCTGCATATCTTTCTTGGTTTTTGGAGCCTGACACTTATCTCTGAAGGATGTGAACTTATGGGAAATTAACCCCCAATTTATACCATCATAACTTAGCTTTAGAAATCATTTCCTTCTGACATTGTGCTTTTAGATGAGGCATTGATTATTCAGTCATCCGTCCCAACTTTTTTTTTGTCTTTCTCTTCATCAGTGTTCTTTCCTATGCCAGTTCCATTTTTTCCCCTCTTTTCAGACAATAATAATCTCTGAAGCAGAAAAAGTTGGCATTTTTTGCACTATGTCTTTTGATTACTAAGGTTGGTAGATGTGGAAGCATTCGTAATCTCTGCTGCATCTTATTTTCCATCTGAGTCACAGAGACAGCAATGCTAGAGTGTCGCCTTGCCATCATTTTCTCATCCTGCTTCTTTCCACCTTTTGAGATGTTCCCATAAAAGCATATGAGAAATACAAGATGACTTCTTCTTCTTCTTCTTCTTCTTCTTCTTCTTCTTCTTCTTCTTCTTCTTCTTCTTCTTCTTCTTCTTCTTCTTCTTCTTCTTCTTCTTCTTCTTCTTCTTCTTCTTCTTCCTCTTCCTCTTCCTCTTCCTCTTCCTCTTCCTCTTCCTCTTCTTCTTCCTCTTCTCCCTCTTGTTGTTGTTGTTGTTGTTGTTGTTATTGTTATTTGAATTTGGGGGAGAAATTTACAGATGTTCATTCCTGTCTGTGCTAGGATGCTTTGAGCCTGCACGTCATTGTGGAATGAAAGAAGAACCACATCAGCATTACTTGAATTCCCCATTTTAGAAAATAGAACATCCACAAATGAATTCTCCCTGTGACTATGTAGGACAGATGGGGAGGAAAATAACCACCAGATTGCAAGAACATAAGCGAGCGGTCAAACGAGGAGAACCAAAATCATTGGTAGCCTCACATTGCCATAAACAAGGACATACATTCAATTTTGCAGTACTAAGATTGTTGGACGAGCAGGCACAAAAACAGCCAAGGGAGTGATTGAAGCCTAGGAAACAGGCCCCTCGTCAATCAACAGGAGTGCTGACTTACTCCCAGCTTATCAAGTACTTAGGAGGCGGGGGCTTGGCAGCACAAGGAAGCAACAGCCAACAACTTAATAGCCATCAACACCAACATAGTCTACATATAAAAAGCTACACGCAACAGCACCATATAAATACCACACATAGAACAGCCCAAAGCACACAGAGAAGTTCCCTAAGGATGGCTCCAGTACGAGTCCAAACGCATGGGAGACAAAAACCTCTGGTCCCAGTAACTGATCCAGATTGGATCCTGCAATAGAACATCCAGTTGTTCCTTAGAACTATCTCCATCTTTAGTCTAAACACACACACACACACACACACACACACACACACACACGGTCCTTTAAGGTTAAGGATGAAAGGAATCAGGCAGACCAGGTTCTTTAAAGATTGGATGTTTGGTACAGTTAGCATTTGCTTTTCAACAGGTTTGCCTACCTACCTGGTTGTAATGGCAGTTGGTCTGAATCAGATTAAGTCAGGCTCTGTTCAGCTACAGTCGGTGAACTTAGAAGCAAGAACAGGCAGCCTTGGGGAGTTAAAACTACAGAGAGGAGCCAGTCGGACAGACCTGTTTATGGCCGAGCTGCCTCCGACTCTATCAACCACCAACAGCTTTTCCATAGTGGTCCATGGAGTGGATGGTGAGGGCAAGAAGTTGGAGAGATCTGCTCCTCAAGTTGCAACTGTCACAGGATCCCTCCTAGAGGTAAGAGGAAAGCTGAGGAGAAAGATTTGGGGCATCTTCCTGTATTTTACAGCTGTATTTTACAGGTGTCTCCTTTTCCTGCCGTTATTATACTATAGACCAGGGGTAGGCAACCTTGGCTCTTTTATGACTTGTGGACTTCAACTCCCAGAATTCCTGAGTTCAAAATTACAATGAGCCTCCCAAAAGGTACTTACGACCTGGATTTGAAGTTCCAATGGCCACACTCCCCTGTGGTCACATGACTGCATTTTGTTTGCTTGGCAGCCAGCCTGCCTTTATGGCCACCCACAGTATCCTGCAGTTACAAGACTTCAATTTATGACATTTTTGCCAGAAACTGGCATGTACTTCTGGTTTTCAGCAAAAAAATGCCCTGTAGCTAACAATAGAGTAACTTTACAACTGTGGTATTTGCTTAATGATTGCTGGGGAAAGATTGTAAAATTTGGCATGGTCGTGTGATGGCCCACTTAACAATTGCCTCGATTTACAACCATAACTGCAGGCTCAATTACAGTCATAAATCGAGGAATACACATACTAATATATTTATATAACATACCTATGTGTGTATATATGCATACACATTCACATATATAAACATACACATATACAATGTGTTTTGTATCCCATGTGGTTTTGTGTGAATACTTTTTCTACAGGAAATCTTTCACAGCAAAACTAGATAGAATGGAGGCAGGCTTAAAAATCTAGATTAAGTTGCTGTTAGTCCCTTGGAGATTGTGGAGAGTCTCAAAACCACTTTTTCTAGTTTTGTTTCTTCTACCAGCAGGTGTTGCTGACCCAACATTATTGCCACAAATCGAAAAACAGCTTCTTACTAAGGACAAGAGAAATACGCTTAAACACTCATGTCAGTTTTTGGTATCTTTGCTCTCCACTTCTGTACAGGTAGTCCTTGATTCACGAGCACAATTTTTAACATTTTTAAATGAGTTTTGCCCCATTTTATAACTTTTCTTGCCACAGTTGCTAAGTGAATCATTGCAGTTGTTGAGTTAGTAACACTAATGTAGTAAACTGAACAATTATTAGAATAATGATTTGTCTGCATAACTAGAATAATGATTTGTCTGCATAATTGCTAGAATAATGATGTAATGCATAATCACTGGGAAAATTCACTGGGAAAGTTCTGTGTCAGTAATATGTGGCTAACCAAATGCACATTGCACATGGATACTTTGTATGTACCAAAACCTTCCATTGTATGCCCATGAGAAACGATCCAAATGTATTACAATGTGTATTACAATGTGTGTAGTCCTTTGTTCCTGAAAGAAGGATAGTATAAAACTGAAGTTTAATCCCACCCTCCTTGTTCAGAATTGCATGTCTCCATATGCCTCTGAACCTGCACAAATAAACCTCTCTGCTAAACCCCTCTGGAATTCGTAAGAGTTCTTTCGTTTTCCACAAGAATTTTGGCACCCCAGATGGGACTCGAACCCACAATCCCTAAGTTGTTAAGTGAATCCAGAATGGGACAACTTGCCACAGCGAACTCGCTGCGGCCACCTCTCCATGACCAACTCACCATGGCCAACTCGCTGTGGGACAATTTGCCAGTTAATGAACTGTTATAAGTTGAGCTACCTGTACAGTACCTGTGAGACAGCTTTCTGTGTTTTTTAGGCTGCTTTTCCGTTTCTCCATTTTCTGAGATTTTTCCTCTTCAGCAGTATGTTTCTCCCACTATCTGATATTGGTTTTAAAATCTGCTCCCTCAAATCTGTCCCTGATTGGCCTTCCTCATTAATTAATGTTCATCTGAGTTGTCTTCTCTTTTTAAACTGACCTGCCAACAAATCTATCAGCAGAAATTATCTTTCCAGAGCAACTGCTTTGTGATGTCTTTTTCTGTGCCAGTTCTGTAACTGAAACCCTGATTTGTTCCAGCTGAGCAGAGAGACTCCTGTATTCCCAGGGAAACATGTTTCCATCTCTTGGAAAATCACAAATCCTGGTGCACCTAAAAGTTATGGACTGAAAGTGATCAGCCTTCCCCGGATTCCAGCCGACATCTCTAATGCCAGGTAACTTTTCTAAGTGGCAATGATAAGCAACATTAGAAGGATTTTTTTCTCCTTATGTTGAGGCTTGATATACAGAATTTCCTGTCTATCTGCCTAGGACAGGGGTAGGCAACCTTGGCTCTTTTATAACTCGTGGACTTCAACTCCCAGAATTCCTGAGCCAGCATGGCTCAGCTTGGAAACCTCTCCCTTTCCCCTCAGTTGGCTGGCTCAGGAATTCTGGGAGTTGAGGTCCACGAGTCATAAAAGAGCCAAGGTTGCCTACCCCTGGCCTAGAGTAAAGACTGCTTTTGTTTCAAAATTACTATTGCAGACAAGACCAGAATAGAACTTATTGCAGAATTCATGTATTTTTTTGGAAGAACAACTAATGCTTAATGTCTGTGGAGATGCTCAGTCATCCATGGTTGTTGTTGTTTTTTCAAAAGACAACTGGATGATGTTTTTTCCTTGAGGAAGAAGAGGTTTTACTTCATCAGTTCTGAGGAAGCTTCTTGGATGAGAAGCTACAGGTCTTCTTCCTCAAGGAAAAAACATAGTCCAGTTGCCTTTTGAAAAAAAAAGCACCTTTGAAACTACTAATGGTTATGTTTTTAGAGATAGGGCTGGATGCGTTTGGACATTGTTTGATGAAATACTAGCAGCTTTATTTCTAGGTATCTAAGATAAGGTTTCAGAGTTCTGCACAATTCTTCGCCTTCCTACGTCTGGCAGAGAAAACGTGAGCCATAGAAAATTAGGATTCACACAACCACTCCTTAGTAATAAAGATGAAGAACGTTTTTTTTCTGACTTGGACGTGTAATTTTTATTACTCTCTCAAAAGTATACAGTTGGTTGCATATATTTCCCATTGCTTTGTCTCTTTTTATAGATCTTTATATTTCTTCAGAGGAAAGGCAGTATATATAGAACTCCAGGTTCTCTCCATCCCATCCCATAACAGACCCGCTCAGCACCTGTCCTCAAAGCCTGTCCTTAGGCCATAAACACACCTCTGCATTCTATTAAAGCAGGGGTGTCAAACTCAATTTCATTGAGGGCCGCATCAGCATTGCGGTTGCCCTCAGGGGGCCGGGTGGGTGTGGCCAGGGTGGGTGTGGCCTACTGGGTGGGCGTAGATGGGAGTGGGTGTGGCCTACTGGGTGGGCGTGGCCAGCTGTACATGGTTCGCGTCAAGGGTGCCTATGGGGGCCCGGGCAGGAGTGGGACAGATCTGAGGGTCTCTGGCAGAAGGGGGTGGGACCAGGGCAAGTGCCAAGGTGTGGTCCACTGGAGGAGCCTCAATGTTCCTCTCAGGCCATGCGGGGGGGGGGGCTGGATGGTGGTGTGGGCTGCCCGGAGCCCTGGGCAACAGAGGTCAAACGCCCAGCCTGGCCCTCGAGCACCCACGGCACCAAGCCCAGCCCCACTTCCTCAAGGCTGCTGTTCAAGGTTCTCCTGGTTCCTCACTGTTTCCAGACAGCCTTGTGGAGCTAAGACTGAATACGTTTCAGCATAGATGGCCACCACAAAATTGTACATTGGCTCCCGGCTGGCCTGGGCCAGGGCCAAGGCAGAGGGGGCCGTTCCCTCACTGTTTCCAGGATGGCTTCACGGGCCACATGAAACCACTTCGTGGGCCGCATCTGGCCCCCAGGCCTTGTGTTTGACATGTCTGCATTAAAGCAACTTCAAGATGTCTGGGCTTCATCTCCCAGAATTCCCCAGCTAGCATGCTGTTGGGAATTCTGGGAATTGAAGTCCAGACATCTTAAATTTGCTAGGTTGAGAAACACTGCAGTAAAGGGAACCTGTGACCCACTGATATGGGACTTAACTGCTTTCGGCATTTTTCTCCTATGCCCACCTTGGATGGGGTTTGTGGATCAGTAATATCTAACGTAGCACAGGCCACTCACCTTACTCCTTGTAAGGAGTGTATGCTTTTCCTGCAGGTGGCTCCAGATTCAATTACTTGGGGGAAGGTTTCAGATGGCCTATAGAGGCAACCAACATTAAGTCCAATCAAGCTACATTCCCTCCCCCATTTTTTTTTAATGTAAGCTAGACTGTCCAACAGTATTGTCATTGTCACCTTCTCTTTCTTGCAGACTGCAATTAGACTTCAACCAAACAGGGACAGGACAGATATCCCTAAATATTCCTGATACTGTTCTACCTGGATCACTGATTACAATAACCTTGCAGGCCAACTCTCTCAACCCGTCTGCAGAGCCTGATTTTGCCCATATCGATCTTCTGGTGATGCCTCAGCCTCAGGTGAGACATGCGTGAACAAACCACGTTGAAAAGGGCTCCGGAGAAGAGAGCTACTTGGATGGTTTGACGAATCCTTCATTTCTACCAAAAACAATTTTTTATAGTCTCAGATAGGAAAGCGATCTCAGTACTCTGTCTTGAGCAGTGAAGATTAGTAGATTTGGCTACAGATGTCCATCTCCGTCCTCAAGTACAGTGAGATGCTTGCCTGTTCTCGGAATCTGCTGCCTTTGGCAATGTCAGTAAAGAGATGGAGAATATCCATCTTGTTAGGACATGTTGGATCTGTGCAGTTTGGGTACTGCTTGACTGTAGCAGCTAACTGAATTAATGTGTGGGTCCTACTCTAAGTGAGTGGATCCTTCTTGAGTCTTGAATTAAGTCTACAAGGGGTTCCGGAACTAAAACCCACTACATTTGAAAGTCAACAAGTTGGGAGAGGTTGACAAACATCTAGATACAGAGCCTAGGACAGTGTTGGCGAACCTATGGCACGCGTGCCAGAGGCGGCATTTGGAGCCCTCTCTGTCTTGTCTCCCCCCCTTGACCCAGCCTTGTCTCCCCCCCGTGACCCCCTCCTCACCAGCAGCCCCCCTGGAGGAGAGTTGCCCCTGAGCGTGGCCCACGCGGAGCAGCACAGCCAAGGACATGGCAGCCAGGCAGCGTAGACAAGACTCTGCCCTCATGCCTCATCGCGCACAGTTGATGCTGTGGCAGAGGGCGTGGCCGTCATGGCGCTGCTGGGCTGCCTGGGCCATCTGCGGCGGGTTCTGGAGGTGGTGAGTGGCCCTGTGGGCAGGCAGGGTGGGGGCGGGGCAGGGGGTGGAGCGGGGGTGGGGCCAGTTTTTGGGCACTCGGTCTCTAAAAGGTTCGCCATCACTGGCCTAGGAGATTCACTGAATACCCCGCTGGGCTGCATGCATTCTTAAGCAATGCAGTAAACTGGTAATATTTTTATCAGATGGGCAAGGGGCTTTGAATGACAGTACAGTGCAATAAACATGCATCTGCTTTCCCCAGGTGTATTATATTTAAGACTGCAAAACTAAAATCAATTGATTGTGCACGAACACATTTGCCAGTGCAATTAATTGTTTGATCTAGTGCAACTTGTCCCTTTTGTTCTTCAATCATAGGTGGAGACCACCTCACCCCCAGTATGCATTGTCACCTCTTCAGAGAATTCCTGCGGTCCACCACAGTCCCCCTGTCGGAGCCAACATTGGGCAGTCACCTTGCAGATCTGGGACAAAGCCGGTCTTCACTCGGTGCAGGTGGAAAACGGTCCAGTGCTTCCCCGCCAAGCCCATGGGCGGGTGGAAATAGTCACTTACACCTCGAATTGTTGCTCACGGCAGGCAGAACTAGTGGTCACCAACCTTCTTGGGGAGAAATATCCATGTCAAGTTGAAGTAATGCCACCTGTCCTTCCTGGCAAGGCAGTAATCACACCTCCAGAGGATTTTAGGGTGGTGGCAGATGCTCCTGATGCTGCTGATAGAGCTGTTGCTCCTCCTGCCAAAATCTGGTGGTGGAGCTCAACCATCTTATTGGCCATTGTGTGGCTGGCACCATAAGGCCGCCATTTATTAGGTATGGGAGAAGTTTCCAGCTGCCCTCTGCTGGAAAATGATGGTATTTACTTTATTAGAGAATAAAGTTAAAAAGAGGATCTGCTGAGCAGGAGCGCAATAACTAACATTGTATGAGGGAGGGAGAGAGGAAGGGAAGGGAAGGGAAGGGAAGGAAGGAAGGAAGGAAGGAAGGAAGGAAGGAAGGAAGGAAGGAAGGAAGGAAGGAAGGAAGGAACCCTCAAAAGACCATTGTTAGGATGTCACATTGGGAGTCTACTCAGTGTGAAGGAAAAATCACTAAAATCTTCTAACCTGATTGGAAGAGCTGAGTTAGAGAGAGAACAAGAATCTTTTTTTTTTTTAATGGGGTAGAGCATCCATTAACACAACCTTGTAGTGAAGCTGGCTTTTGACCAGGTACCAGGACTCTTAATCTATCGGGTGGTGTTTTTTAATATGAGTTTGCTCTCTAGTGTGAGATGAGCTCCTTGAATTTTTTTTTAACTGGACATGGTAGGATAGTTGTTACGATCTGTATGCACAGGATGGGCTATGGGTTATGATTTCCCAAGAGGGATTGTCCAAAGGCCCATGTGGGGCCTGAACCCACAGTCTTGCTGCTAGTAACCATATGCTTTGATGGACAGCACTAGTTTTGGGGGTTGCTAATCCCACGGACTGACATTGCTGACCCCCATCTCTTGCACCATTCCACATCCAGGCACTCTGCATGGTGTCTGCTGCAGTTCTTTCAGTGTCTTCAAATGTTTCTGGACTTCACTGCAGGAGTTCACTCCTTTCTGATCATAGGCACATGCTGCCAATTGCACCTCGTTGCTCTTAACTCCCTAGAAATGGGATTGGTTTTGTTTTGGACCAGCTTCTGCTAAAACAGCCTTCACCAACCTGGTCTCTTTGAGATTTTGTTGGAAGTCCAGTGTCTCCCCTGAGCATGAAAGGAATATAACTGAAAGGCACAAGGGAAAATTTGGGGAAATTTGAAATGAAGGCTCATGGAAGGTAGAAGTTCAACCACAGCATGCTCTGGAAAGCTGGTGGATATTTCCTTGTGGTACACACCATTCCTAAATGCAGATACATCTCAGTTGTACTCCACAATAATTGTGCTATTGATGTAGAAATGATTACAGGTAAGTCAATGACACTGTAATGAATAAACTGTGAACAGATAGGCATGTTTTAACATTTACAGCATTTTTACGTAGACAACCAAACGTTCTCTGAAGGGTAGAGAGCATTAATTCAAAATAGTGCCACTTTGTAGCATGCTTTAGGAAGAGAATGTTGTAATATTGAAGAGAGGGAATGATTTGGATTGTAAAATATATCCTAATGACTTCCGGGAGGATCCATAGCAGAGTACAAAAGTAAAGAACACCAGGAGAAAAAGAGACTCTAAAAAATACATTCAATGGTTAAAACCAACAAGACAATGCATGGCTAAAACCTATAAAATTGTTCTTTAGAAATCTTACAAGAATTAAAAACCTAGCTTTCGTTGGCAAACTGCCAACTTCCTCAGGGCTGTAGTTCATACAGGGCGGGAGAAGCCTCCTTT